GATCCTCTATCTTGTTGCCTTGAGTGAAAAGTCAGTCAAGCATTATCAGAAATCATGCCAGAACAGATATATTTACACATAGATTCAGATTAAGAGAGCTGGATACATTCCAAAATCAAACATACATGGGAATGCAATTTTCAGCAATGTCTGGTTTTGGAACTTTTTCTCTTTTTTTCAGGGACTCTGAAGTCCATCAGTGACAAAGACATTTAGAAGATTCACTTTTGAAATTGAAGGTATTCACAATAGGCCTTTTGCAGTCAAGACAAAGACTCCAGGAATAAATGTATCTTCACAAGCTTCATAGTCTTCCCAGTAATCAATTTTCACTCTCAGAATCAGGAGATCCAAATGCCAGCAAAATTGATGAGTTTGTTGATTTTTTTTTCTTGGAGCCTGTGAATTTTTAGATTGCTATCTTGAGGACTTGTTTTGAGCTGTTTTTTGGATTGCTAGGTGGAGTTCATTTTTAGGAAGTTGCATACATGGAGGTATTTTGTGTGGGTGCGTTTGGGCAACCTCTTTTGGACCCTTACACTTTTTACTATATTATATGAGGGTTCTAACAAAAGTTCTCGGAGTAACAATGAAAATGGCACACAATTGAGCTGAGAAAAATTTATTCTTTAGCAAAAACATATTCTTTGGCACACAAAAAAATCAGCCTGGTTTGACAATTTTTTTCAAATTTTTTTGCAAAATTCGTTCTTGTAGAGTTTTGCTCTCCACTCAAAAAATAAGGCGCCCTTTTTTTGTTGCAGCCCAGCTTTCCCCTCAGAATTTTTGAAATCAACTCAACATTCTTTCTAAGGGTTGCCTCCAGGTCATCCAAAAAATTTGAAAAAAATTGTCAAACCAGGCTGATTTTTTTTATGTGCCAAAGAATATGTTTTCGCTAAAGAATAAATTTTTTTCAGCTCAATTGTATGCCATTTTCATTGTTAATCCGAGAACTTTTGTTAGAACCCTCGTATATAAAAATTAAGTCTTTTTTGTTTGGTCTACTAAAATTTTTGAAATGTTTTTAAAGTGGTTTCAGAGTGTTTTTAAGCAGGGCCTCAAAGTTGCCAACTAAGTAAAGAGATTCAGCCATTTCATGGTGCTAAAATGCTAATGACACAAATACTTAAGCCAAGGCCTGAAGGAAATAATTAAATCGAGTTTTGTGAGTAAGATTTGTGCAATTCAAGACTGCTGTTGATGAAACATTGATACTCATGACTATAACATAATCGTACCCAAACTAAAAGAAAAAAATTATTTCTCAGTTTTCTAGAAATATTGGAGACATGTCCGTATCTTGAGACATTGTCCGGATGTCACAGCGGATTTTTCCTTCTTCGGAGTTTCAAGTACCCCCAAGTCGAATCGTCCATATGTCGGGGGGCATCCGTGCAACAGCGTGTCAATGTAATTCATTTTCATTTTTTAAAATAAATAATGCAGTACCGAATGGGGATTAGCAAAAAAAAGGAAGTACGGTACGGTACCTGAATGTACTCGTCTTCGTTGCGGAGATGTTCAGCAATGAACTCCACGGCTTCAGTGGCCTTGTATGCCTCGGGCGTCATCAAGGCCAGGTCGGAACTCCCCGAGTCCCTCCGGCAGGGCAACGGTGGCGGGGGTGGGGGCGGAAACGGAAGGTCGTCCCCCANTTTTCCTGTTGAAAATCGGTCAAAAATTTCCCATTAGAATTGAGTTTAAAGGAATAAAACTGAACTTCTTAAGCTTTATGAAAAATACTTACCAACCTATCATGTGCAACCCTTTTTTCCCTCTTGAATTTTAGAAAAAAGGTGCAATTGGCACTGGTGTAACTACTAATGCACAAATAAAGTTTTGCATAACACATAATGAGTGACATGCAACCTTACATAAGACATGCATCACATTTTTCAGTAAAACCAATTTTGATGACATTTAATTTGTAAGTAAGATGTGCACCCAATTCTTATTGACTCTCAACCTCCAATATTTCAAAGACAAGTGAACCAAAATTTGAATTTAGACATGAATTGAACCTGAATTCAACTAACTTTCAATTTTTTCCAATAAAATAAGCTTTTAGTTAAACTTGGCCCAAAATTTCCCATTAAAATCAAGTGTAAAGCCAAACTAACATTTTAAAGCATTTTGAAAAATAGTTACCCACCCATGATGTGCAACCCTTTTTCCCCTCTTGAACTTTAGAAAAAAATGATGTGCAATTGGTACAGGTGTAAAAACTAATGCATAAATATAGTTATGCACAAAACCTAATGAGTGCCATGCAACCTTAAATGTGACACACATCAGATTTCAGAACAAACAATTTTGAAAAAATTGCATGTGTAGTAAGATGTGCACCGCACCCAATTCCTAGTGACTCTCAAGCTCCAATATTTCAAAGACAAGAAAACCAAAATTTTAATTTAGACATGAATTGAACCTGAATTCAACTAACTTTAAATTGTTTCCATTAAAATAGGTTTTCTGTTGAACTTAGCCCAGAATTTCCCATCGAAATCAAGTATACAGCACAGCTATAATTGTAAAACTTTTTGAAAAATATATATATATTTTATACATATATTACCTACCTATGACAAGCAACCCTCTTTTTTCCTCATGGATTCTAGGAAAAGGTGCACATGGCACAGGAATAAATGTGTTAAATATATTCATATATCTGCACAACAAAATTCGAGGGACCAGAAAAAGTTCATTGTAGAGTGCATTTCTTTGTGGACAGTCCATATAACATTGAGAGAGAACCTCATATTGGACCAACAACAAAGAATAAAAAAAATTGTTGTATACAGTCAACCTAATTGTATAAACAGAGCACTTCTTAACAAATAATGATTGCCATTCACCCTGGGGTAAAAAGCACACCATGATGGGTTTGTAGTTGAAAATCCGGCATTTGTAAAATTGTGTTCCCATTTTTTACAAGTAATACATGAACCATAAAGTGACTCTGAAACTACAAAATTTGGTACTTTCCTGTTATCTCAGTACCTACTGAGAAAAGTACCATTTTTTCCAATACAATACTGTACCCCAATTTAGTGCCATTGTTTCTGCAGGCACATTTTGTGGCACTAAGCATGTGCCACAATGAGATAAAATAAAATTCAAACAAAATTTGAAGAAACAGCAAAGCTCTTTTACTAGACCAAACATGTGTACAAATCTAATTTATTCTGACTCATTCAATGCAATCAAAGCCCAAATCAGTGCCAACCTTGCTCAGTGCCACAACATTTGGCAGAAAAAACAATGGCACTAAATAGCAACACAATACGAGCCAGAAAAAACAATGGTACTAAATTGGGGTTTGATTGAATTTAATGAGTCATAATATATTAGATTTTTATTTGCGTTATGTCCAGTAAAAGAGCTGAGCACAGAAGAGAACATACACATTTGAATCCATACAGTGCCATTGTTTCCATTAAAATAAGTTCTTCTGCCAAACTTATTGGCAAAAAATTCCTCATTAGAATAAAGTACAAAAGATACCTAAACTTCTAGAACTTTTTGAACCTTAGACCTGCCTCTGCTGACACACAGCACCTTTTCATGCCTTAAATTTGAGAAAAAAAAAGTTTGTGCAGTACTGGAGTAAATATGGTGAATATATCCATATAAATGTATAAATATAGCACTTCATAACAAATAACACGCCTGATCCTGATCCCAACTCCACCAGGATATTCTACTCCAGTGCTGCTCCCTTCTCTCATCCACAAGTTCTCGCACCACTTTCAATAAGATGCGCCAGTGTTCCTGTTCACACACCAGATCTAACAAATACATGAGGGTTGTTCCATAAATTTTGAGACTTTTCTAAATAGATTCAATATCGAGTTTCAACAATCCCGAAAATTTATTTTTACACACATAGTCGCATCATTTGGCGACACTTCAGCGCTGCTCAACATTCTCTGCCAATTTCAATTCATTTTTTCAAGAAATAAATCCAACCATCAAAAATTGCCAAAAAATCTAGCTCAGTTAGTTGATAAAGATGCTCCTTGATGGCAGATATAAAGCTGTTTCTGTTCTCAAAATCAATCTCTTTTGGGTAATTTTTCATTGCATCAGGAAAAAAGTCACAGTGTGTCTACTCAACAAACAGAACTCGATTTTTGGCACTGTTTTGATTGTTGGATTTATTGCACGAAAAACTGCATTGAAATTGGCAAAGGGCACTGAAGTGTTGCCAAATTATGGGGCTATGCGAGTAAATTTTTATTATTACTGTATTTGGAATAGCTGGAAGTCAGTTGGATCAATTTGATAAAGTCCCGAAACTTATGAACCAACCCTCGTATTTACTGTAAATACGATACCATCTGTGCCTTTCTCTTTGCTTCATCTCCATAAATCCTTGTACAACTCCATCACAAACTTTAATAATTGAGGACACGCGTGGTAATTCATCAACACTTCATAATTACAGTGAAGAGAACCTCCTTTTCTCCAGAGTTTGTGATGGAACTCAACTCAAATAACTCAAATTACAGTTTGCTGGACTCCACATTTGTTGCAGAATTAAATGGATTCATGAAGTGGTGGACTAGCTTATGGAAGTCACTGTTGCACCACAAGCTTGTGCACTTGTGAGTTAGAAATCTTGGGTGCAAGTTTCCTAGTAAATTAGAGATTTATATCAGATAAAGTTAAAGCAGTTTGATGAAAGTAAGTGTTAGCTCAAGATCAGCAGTTAGTTGATTTATTTTATTGGTACAGTTGAACCTCTCTAAGTCGAATTTCAAGGGACCATGAAAAAAATTCGACTTAGGGAGGTTTCGACTTAGGGAGGTTTTTGGGGAAAATGCTACAACACTGGGAGAGGGCCTAAATTGATCCCATATATATATTAGAGCATATATACTGGAGTCAAAGCAAGGTTAGAAGGACATTCTTTCATTTCACTCCAAATTAAACTCTGAGAAATTTCTCCCCAAGGATTAGGGATTAGAGATTAGGAAGGTGCACAGGAAAGAAGGGGTTATTCAATGTTTTGAAGGAGAAGGGAGATTATTTCTTTCACTTTCTCCCATGCAGAAGGAAAACCCTTGAGGCCATGGAGGAATTCCATTGAAATGAATAATAGGATAAATACTGCAGATATTTATGATTTATCATCAGTCTGTCTTGTATCTTGGTGATGGATGAGATGTGTTCTGGAAGATTTATTGAAATTGGACAGTGAATATTTGTGGAAAAATTTTCTTAGCAGATATCCTACTTTATACTCTAGGTATAATTTTCCTGAGTAGAATTTTGTCTTGTGCTCATGATTAAAAAAAGCAGTGTTCCTTCAGCAGTTGAACTTTCATCAATTTATTCAAGTTTTCTTGATCTTGATAATTTCACCACAATCACTCTCTCTCTGCATGTCCACTTCCTCCAGCTGCTGCTTTTCCTCAGCTGTTTGTTCTGAAATCCCTGCATTTGAAAAAAAAAATTTAAATTCCTTCTCCTGAAGTTTGTCTCCTGTAAAAAGCTCACCTTGGGTAAAAAAGTCTGTCAACTTTGTTTGATGATGTGCAGATGTGTCATTCTCAACTATCTTCTGTATCTCTCCAATGGCCCTGAATACCTTTCCTTCCAGATTTGGCTTTGACTCCAAGAATCTCTGCAGGATGTCAACTGCCTTTCTTGCCTCTTTTCTACTAGGAACTGGTAAAATGTGGATATTGTTTTCATCCTCATCCCCACTCTCATTTTCTGCTTGTTCCTCATGTCCCACTTGAGCAAGAATGTCAGCATCTGTTAGTTCTCCACAGATATTCACATTAGAGTCAATATCCAGAAATTCTTGGAAAGAAACTTCCTGATTAGCCCCAGTTGCTGTTAAAATTGTGGACCATTCTTGAGGGCATTCAAATTCCTTGTTGGTTTCCGTTGGAATTTCTTCTAAATTCTCAGCAGTGTCATCTTCATTTCTATGGACAAAACCAGCTTTTCTAAAGCAATTTTTTATTGTTTCTGGGGGGACTTCATCCCAGGCTCTCCTTGCCATACGCATTGCCTCAAGCAGGTCAATTCCAAGTGGGCACTTTTCTTCTATATCCCTCAATAATTTTTTCACAACAAGTCTTCTGTATCTCAGCTTGAAATTGTTGATTATGCCCTGGTCCAGGGGTTGCAGCATAGATGTTGTGTTGGGTGGCAAAAACTTGATTGTCACTGATTTCATGTTAGGGATTTGGTTATGTGCTGTGCAATTGTCTATGAAAAGAATAATGTTTCTCTTCTTCCTGCTCATCACTGCATCCACTTTCTTCAGCCACTGACCAAACAACTCTGTTGTCATCCAAGCCTTCTTGTTAGCCTTATAAAAAATTGGCAATGACTTCACATTTTTAAAGCATCTTGGTTTCATTGATTTTCCTATCAGCAATGCAGGCAGTTTCTCTGACCCACTCATGTTTGCACCCAGAAGAAGAGTCACACGTTCCTTACTTCTTTTCCCACCATGGCAAGGTTCCCCTTTGAAAGCCATAGTTTTGTCAGGAGTGCATTTAAAAAACAATCCAGTTTCATCTGCATTGAAGATGTCATTTGGACTGTAATTTTTGATGATTTCTGTCAATTTCCCAATCCACTGATTGCAGTCTTCTTTTTGCACTTGAGCACTTTCACCACATAACTTATTGAATACAAGTCCATGCCTTTTCTTGAATTTGTCTAGCCAACCATTGCTGGCTTTAAATTCAGTGAAGCCCAACTCTTTTGAAAATTCTTCTGCTTTTGCTTGCAAAATCTTCCCATCAATAGGGATTTTATGATCCCTTGCTTGCTTGAACCACTTTAAAATGCATTGTTCAATGCTAGGATTTTCACATTCCTTTATCCTCTTTTGATGACCACTTGACTTCTCATTATACAGCTTCAGTATTTTATCCTTCTCTTTGAGAAAAGTTGAGAGTGTGCTTGTGGGAATTCCAAATTCTTTAGCAATTTCCACTTTTTTTTTGGATCCTTTTTCCACAGCTCTAATAATGGTTACTTTTTCTTTGATGGACATTGTTTTCAGCTTACGCCCTTTGCTTGACATTGTAGACCACTTTCACAGATTCAAAGATGGCTTATTCTGACAAAAGAAAAAGGATATGGGGGAAAATTAAGACAGTTTTTTTTAAAACAGAATTGAAATTTCAACAGGATATTTTTTCACTTGGTTGAAGAGCCACAAAACACAGATTGTTTCTCTGGTGTTTCTTTTTCAAGACTAAACATCTTTGGGGTGCTGTGTACTTTGAGTACAAAACAGCAATGTTTGCATTTTTAACCGTTTTTTAAAAGATGTCCTTTTTTCAGAGGGTAATTGCTGCAGTTGTAAAATGACCCGGCGCCCGGGCGCCGGAAACAGTGTCTCTTTGTTCCATAAATGGGGAGGATGCCGCATCAAATAAAAGCAGCTATCCTCCCCAAAAAACGCCCGCAATAAAAAAATTTCTGGTTCTGCCTGGTGTCCACAAAAAAAATTCGACTTAGGGAGGTTTCCCAGGAATTGCTTCGAGTTAGGGAGGTTTTTTTACATTATTCTCTAAGGGATTGGAAGGGGACTGGAAAAAAATTCGAGTTAGGGGGGTTTTCGACTTAGGGAGGTTCGACTTATGGAGGTTGGACTGTATTATAACAAATTTAGGGATCATCTTCAGCTTGAACTTGAGTTAACATAGAAGTCTGTATCTTTTATTTTTTTGAGTGATATGTATGTCCTTTGGTATGTTGCAATGCAAGTGATAGCTCCATATGCAAACAGTTTTCAGTTAAATATGTTTATAAAATTGTACCTCAATGTATGACATGCACCCATAGTGACTCTGAAACTAAAGGCCAAGCATGCAGACACTGACTCAACATGCGGACATTGCATGATAAAATTGTCAATGAGTTTCAGGAAAGGTGACTTTTATCAGACTGAATAGCAAGAAACAGATATATCCAACCCTAAGATCTATGCAAGAACAATTCTTTGGCATTTCTCCCATCATTTTCCCATCCATTCAGCCAATTAAAAAAATTACCTTTAGCATAGAGGGACTTCCTTCTCTCTTTGTGACTTGAATGTTATTTATACAGATGTCTACATTTCAATATACTGTACAGATGTACAGTATTCAATGCTCCAATCAACATCTGGGGATCTCACTGAATATTTCAAAGAGAAGAACACCCAAATTCAAATTTATGCATGTATTTGAACCTGGATTCAACTAATTTCCAATGGTTTCCATCAAAATGAGTTCTTTGTCAAATTTGGTAAAAAATTTACCCATTTGAATTGTGCTGTCTTGTTGTTAATTCTCTTCAATTTGTGTTGTCTTTAAAAAGTAATTCCATCATGAATTTCTTGGTGATTTTATCTGCTGATTGTTCCTTTTTTATGATACCTTTGAGAGAAAAACATGTTCTTCATAGAACCACCAAAGACAGAGGATGATTCTGATTTATTCCTTCTGAAAACCATACAAATTGAAACATAATTTAAAAATTGAAACTAATTTAAAAATTAAAACTAATTGACACTGCGCTACTGCATTAGCATTCCGATGTTCTTTGCATCTGGATTTACATTTTTTGAAGCTCAGTTAAATACGGAATACTAATTTTTCGACCGTCAACAGTAATTTGTCCAATCGCGTACACAAAAAGAGACAGGATCTTCAACAAATTGCTCACGTTATCTCTTTAGAACTTTCTCTGATCCATCAATTCCAAAGTTCGTTAGAAACTGGCGAACTATATTGAAGGTGAGGTTCATATTTTTGGATAACTGAAGCATTAACAGGAATCAGCTTCAAAACGGACGAATAACCAACAAGTTTTCATCAACTTTCCCGCATTTCAAAGTAGTTTCTCTATTCCACTTTTCTTCGCCGTTTAATTGAAGTGCTGATACCGGAATGTCTCAATTCACGGATGTCTTCTGAAGATCAAACCCGAACACGAGTTTCGTAAAAGACGATTGACTTAATTTAGTCGAACAAGAAATAGCGTAAACAAGATGGCAGCGGAAAACAAATTCTTTGAAAAAGAGTTGTTCGAGACATCAGTGTACCGGATATTTCAAACTTGATGACACACCTGAAACTAAGCCAAGTAACTAACTCAACCCTCAATTAAATACCACCCTCATACAATTACCACACCATATCTTACACATACCTTTTGTTTCTGCATACTTAAGCATGTTTAGAATACTAAACCAAGAAAACAATTTCAATTTTTTTTTTTACTTTAGCACTGTGTAACATGAGTGGAGAACTCTGACTGTAACTAGAAAATGTTCATAAATCACCATGAAGTAAATTTAATTTGTTTAAAGATTAAAAAAAATATATCCCACAACCCTAGAAGATAATGGGTTATGTCGATTTTTTTACAATTACACCATCTGTAAAACTATCTGCATCTTAGAATTTAAAAACAAATTTGGTCTCCCTTAGAGTGAGGTTCAATTATTGGTCTAATTCTTACAGCTCATTGAAAGTTGCCTGGCTTTGAGCACATGTGTTCATCACAGATTATTTTTAAATCTGGACACCCAGGGCATGAATTTTAAGCTCATTGACTTGACTTTATTTCTGAAGTTCAGGAACTATTTTTTGTGCAAGTTATGGTGGTTTTAATCTGATATATTCCAGATTGTTGCAGAAGGAAAATCTGGGTATTTGATTGTAACTCTGACTGGAATTTTCCATTCATCCTTGGATTAGTGCTTTGGTGCAATGTTAGCCTGAATGTTGACAAAATACATCAGTCATACTAACAGTGAAAAAATAAAATTTTTCTTTCATTTTCTTGAGCATCATATCACAGACATGCTAAGTTCTCTCAAAAGCTAACTCTCCATGTACAGTGGGGTTTTGGTTTATGAACTTGATCCATTCCTCAGCAAAGTTTGTTGACCAAATCCCACTTTTCCTTAAGAAAGTACTGTACATGAATAATTTCAATTGGTACCCGAACCTTGAAAGTGTACATAAAAATCAATGAAATGTTCACCTGACATTTTTACTGGGCCAAAAACTCCAAGAAATGTCATTGACAAAATTAGAAGAAAAGCTCAAAGAAGTGTTGATGAAGACAGGAGCTTAAGAAGGATGCCAAAGAGGGAAAGTGGAGTCAACACTTTCAATGCAAAAAATCATTCAGTAAACGTATTTGGGCCTTTTAGTCAATAATTTTACACAATTTAATCACTCTGTGTTTCTGTACACTCCTTTCAGCACTAATCCAAACTTTTTTCAGTTGGAAGCAGATTTTGAAAAAAAAAAACTCGAGGAATAAATTTGCAAAAATAAAAAAGGAATCCTAAAATAAGTCATAATCACGCAGAAATCATTTCATTGATGTACAGGTGGTACCTTGCAATTCAAACACCCACACTTCAACCATCCCATAATTTGATGGTCAAATTTGCTGGGAAGTTGACTTTCAATTCGACCTGTGGATAGACATGAAACATCGAATGCCATGTAGAAAACATGCAATTTGCTATTGTCTCTCCATTCAATTGCTTCAAAATTTGACCCTAGTCCAGCAATTGGTTAGGGTTGAATTGAAAGGCACCTCCTTAATTCCAAACTCAGCCCTGCAGAAGAGCAAGAAATACCTACTGGAAATATTATGGTTCCAATTCAAGACCAAAAAGGGGTAAATACATTTTGGGAGGCCTGCCTTCCAAATCAAAGTTTGTAAACCAAGTCATAATTTGTTATCCAAGGCAGCTGTGGGGTCGTGTCCACGCGGCATGACCCGAGCATAGCATCCTTGCTCCGGCACACCGCGCAGCAACGCCAGCACACAGACCCGGAAGCGGATAGGGCACCTGGTTTGCCGCATTGCAGTAAACCGGGTCAAGAGTAAGAGATAAGAAATCTCCGGCAGTGGAAGCCGGCACCAAAGTCTTCGGGACTTCGGAAAGACATTCAGATTTGAGATCGACTCCTGAGAGCTTGTGTGTGCTTACAGCGGTTGAGCTTAATTACGTCCTAGCGCGATTGCTGTACCTCT